AGGGAGACACACAAAATGTGCAGTGCTGGGGGGCGCCCAGGACCAGGGTTGAGAAACACTGATCTATATGAACCCATGATTTTGGGTCTTTTATTTTATTTATTAATCAAATCAGACTTTATGGACATGTTTTGATATAGAGCACTGACGACTTGTCTTCTGGTCACCAGGTTGTGCTGTATATCTCCGGTGTTGGCGGCGAAAGTTCTTCCTGGTGTGGATGTGACGGTGGGTCATGAGGAGGAGGAAGGTGGGAAGTGGCCATATGCTGGTACTACACAAGCCATCACTGCCCTGGGAGCCAAACATACTGTCAAAGAAGTCACCATATCCTACCTGTACAGACCTCTTCTCTTCTCTTCTCTTCTCTTCTCTTCTCTTCTCTTCTCTTCTCTTCTCTTCGGATCAGAAGGCCATTTCCAACACAAGAAAAAAAAAATCATGCTTTGGTAAATCAGAGATGAGATAAAAAGTCATAACTATGAGATATAGAGTAAAAAAAAATAAAAAATACTAAGTTATCTATAAGAAAATAATTCATAGTTATAACATAAAAAGTTGAATTTTTATGCCATAATTGAGATTTTTCTTGTAGTTTATTTCTCTTTAAATAATATTATCAGTGTTTATGTTTGTCTGAATTACCCTTAACCTTTGACCATCACGAAGCCCATGTGGACCGGAAGAATAAGGTGGTGACCACACCTGCATTCATGTGTGAAACGAAGTTGCACTTGATTTTTGATGGGATTGGTGCTATGGTGAGAGACGTCCTAAAGCTCAGCGGGAAGTGAAAATTGAAACAATATATCAGTATTTTAATGTTCACTACATAGAGCTCATCAGTCATATAGGATCTCTATCAGACTGTTTAAATGAAAAAGTAGGCTATTTTTTGCTGTGATTTGTAGTGATTTGCAAAACAAGACATTACTACTCAAACATGTATCTGCCTGACAGTGTTAAATGGTGTTTTGGTGAATATCCAGCAGAGGGCATTCTCTGTATTTAAAAAACATAATATGAATTATATGTTGATTTCTCATGATTTTCTCAATTTTGAAATCTTCAAATTGAACTTGACATTTAAGATAAACTCATCAGTTGTTTACAAAAAAAGAGAGATTTCAGAGTACCAGATTAATACATTAATACATTGAACCAGTTAAAACTCATGTCATTTAAAGTAGACAGTCTGTGTTGAAATATGAAGTTTGAAATGATGAATAAAGTGAATAATTTTTCTAAAAATTATAAAATGTTAGTGGGTAGTCATTTATCAGTCTCCATTTAAAATCAATAATATATCATGTAATGTAGTATTTACTGAAAATCTAGTTACTTCAAAAGTTTTTATTTGGCTAATAGTTGCCAAAATACCCCCTAACTGTGTGACTGGGCTGTGTGTTCAGAATTGAATTGCGAATGCTTTTTAGATGCCACTTGAATTGATTAAAAATCAAAGTTATATACACCTCACTTGACACAGTTTACCCGTAATGTAAGGCAAGTTGTCACTAGACCACTTTCTTTTTGAGAAGTCATATTTATTAAATCAGAAGAAGTGTGTCCTGGAAACTGATGAGAGACAGAAAGACAGTGAGAAAAAGGAAACGGTGTGTGTTTAGACTAGCAGGATTAGTCACATGACTAGCTACAGGCACCGATCATCACATGGCATCATGCAAGAATACAGGCATCTCAAAGAGACCTGCAGTACACAGACTCATTTCCTGAGCACCCACCCACATCTAACTGAGGTATGACTTTACAGGCAGTGCACACAAACACACACTCTTATTGTAACTACTTATATTTGGACATAAAATATGCATCACAAATACATTTAACCCTTTTTAATCACTTATAAATATGTATTTATTTGTACTCGCACTACTTTTAAAAAAGATTTCTAAATATTTTTGAGAGAAGTCTCTTATGCTCGCCAAGCCTGCATTTATTTAAATGAAAAGGTACTGTAAAACACTAATATTGTGAAATATTCTTAGTTATAAATAAGAGTTTTCTATTTAATGTATTTTAAAAAGTAATTGAATCATGTAATGGCAAAACGTAATTTTCAGCAGCCATTACACCGGTCTTCAATATCACATGATCCTTCAGAAAACATTCTAATGTTTTTGTTTTTCTTGATAATTTTCCATTTCTTTCTCGACCCCTCTGCTGTTTTGTGAATTCACTAATTTTCCTCTTTTCACTTCCATTTGGGTCAGGTCAGGCCAGGCAGATGTGTTTCTCTGCTGGTTACTTTATACCTCGTTCCTTCTGACGGAGGCTGGTTCTCAGACCAGGGCATCTAGGTGTTCTGTTCCCAGGCACGGCACTCTTTGATGGGGATTTCTCTCACCCACCTCTCATCAGCCTATCCACTTTCCACAGCCGACCAGAGAGGCTGGGCAAACAAGACCCCGCGTTCTGCCAATTTGTCTGTACAAAACACAGGGATTTGGGGACCTACAGACACTCTTACACAGACAAATGGTAAGTATTTGCCTGGCAGTCTGAGATTCCTCACCCCCACCCCATCTACGCATAAACACACACTCACTTGGTGCTTTCGCTACACTCTCAGGCGACTGGTTTCTTTACACTGACTTTCTTTAACCAGCCGTCCTAACAAAAAATGACCTAGACTTGCTAAGGTGGTTTCATTGACCAGTATTTGTGTATTTTTTGCACATTTATGTTGGTTTTAACTGATTACGCATTATTGCTATGCTGTTCAAGCTGGTTTACCAGTAAAACCAGTTTTACTAATTTGTGCCAGCAACATGCCAACATTGGCCATCTAAAATCAGATCATCTTGGAATTTAAGCTGGTTAAAACAGAACTAGGGTACTACAAAGAACACCTCGTATTGGTGTTGCTGTTTCACACAAGATAGAATACTTAAGCATATATCACACATGGTGTGACTTAAAGCATTCAACGTAAAGCATTTGTAAAGTCTAAAGAGGGGTAGGTTTGGGTTGTCTGCATCTTGACTTTTTTTGACATTTCGGTTGGACATCACCTGGGTACTTGTAATAAAGTACACCTAGTTGCATTGTTGAGTTCAAACTCATATACTTAAACTACAAAATTGTATAGAATAGTGCAGAAACAAGTAACTCGGTCTCCTCCTGTAGGTGTCTGGGTTCCAGCTGTCTTGAGATAAAATGTGTGGACCGTGTAAGCGTGAGACAGGCTTGCGGTTCTGGCAGCCTGTGGGATGTAAATGGTCTGAGGTCTCTGTGTATTATTGTGAGTGGAGCAGTCTATCAGGGGCCGGCCTGAGGCCCCATGTTCCTCCTGGCATCCTGATCAGAGGATTAGTAGCACACAGCCGCAGGTCAAGAGCATGCCAGTCACACACAATCTTTAACACACACACACCCACACTTGTTATTTCACTTTCTCTCACAAACACCTTTGCTTTCACACACGTACGCCTGGAGAGAGCATTTCTCAACCTCTCACACTTGTGCAGAAGAGGCCTGTTTGATAGCAGGCTACGGATTAGGTTCTGTTGTCTTTTATTCTTATTCTGATTGGCTTATGTTCTTGAGAGTCTTTTTTTCTACAGTGAGGCCGTACTAGACCATACAATGAAAGGGGATTTTTTTCTCATGACATCATATTCCCCCACCCTCCCCCAGTTGAAAGGATTTTATTTATTTATTTATTTATTTTTGGTTCATTTAAGACACAAGAAGGATCATTGTTCAGTTTTATGCTGCTATTGTTTGCATAAAAGATCACACATTTGTTGGAAGCAATCTTGTTTGATCCATAAAACAGGTGGTTGAAAAAATGTGGCCTGGTTTTAAGTTATAGTACACCTTTATTTTATTTTATTTTATTTTATTTGTCTGTTCTCAAATAATAAATATTATTGTGCTTATTTCAGATATTAACCCACAATTCTGTCGGGCCGAGCCGTTGTAGCTCCATAATATAGGGGTGTGCTGGTGTTTGACCAGAGAAGTGTGTCCTGTCTTTTAGTGTACCCCTGCACTGACCCCTGTCCATCCCTCAATAGTGCAATGCCTTGTTGCCCCCAGCATGAGGTCCCAGCATCCCCTAGTTGTGATAGTGGGGGGCACACAGCAAGGGGCCTTAGAGGGGATGCAGAATTAGCAACTAAAATGGAGAATCACATTTCCATATGCATGCCACTGACAAGTGTTATACTGAAAAACCCGGTACCAATACGTGTACAAGGTGGCCCAATCCAACAAGATGTGGGGAAGAAGGGGGCACTGGGGGGTTGGCTTTTAAAGGGGGCAGCAATATTGTACTAATTCATGCAAGAGACTCTCTATCAAAGTGAAAGACATACAGTAATTAACGAGGGAATTAATGAGGGAAAGAGGGAAAAAAGAGAGGAAAGAAAGAGCAGGAAGAATGAGTTCAGGAACAAGAGGGACAGAGATGCTTATTCTGACGTGTAAATGCTGTGTTGATTAGCATAAGGTGGTTTGTCCAGTCCCAGTATTTACCAGCAGAATTGAATGTGTGTGCAGCATGGATGTGACTTTGTCCCCCCTAAATTTCCACAGCCACCTTTTCAGATACAACCTCCCCCCACTCCCAAACACCCCCTCACCTTTCAATTCCTTTTCTTACCTCTTTTCTATAGCCATTGCCTTTTTCTGCCCTCTTTCTCATTGGTGTGAATGTAGAATATAAATGTTGTTACCAATGGCCAGGCAGATTTTTTTCTTGTTCTTTTTTTTCTTTCTTTCTTTTTCTTTTCTTTTTCTTTTTTTTCTTTTTGAAGACCAGTCTTGTCCAGCAATGGACAATGTGATCAGCTGACACTTATTTTTATTCTTGACAAAAGTACTAGTACTGAAAATGCAACTTTTTAAATGTTTTAATAGCTCCACTAAACATACACTCTAAAAAATGCTGGGTTATTTCAACCCAACTTTGGGTCAAATATGGACTAACCCAGCAGTTGGGTTAAATTTTGACATTAAATTTTTAACCCAAAAGTTGGGTTAGTCCATATTTGACCCAAAGTTGGGTTGAAATAACCGAGCATTTTTTAGAGTGTAACACCAAAAATATGAAAACTGCATGCTAAAAAAAATTAAGTGCATTCTATAATTAATTCAAATATTAAATTCAGTTATCTTTGGTTTTGGTTGCAGTTAAAAAAGTATTAAATAATTATGTTTCAATTATTTTTATTTTTATAATTTATAAATGTGTAATTGTATTTTACATGCTTAGGCATCTATGCATCGGTCATTTAGTAGTAAGTTAAAGTATTTCACACTTCTCTCTGGGACTGAAAAAGAGCAGAGCAGGTCGCCCAGTGTGGTGCCTCTCATCTTTTGTGTGCTGGTTTCCCTGTGCCAGCTTTTTGCTGTCACATAAGTGCATGTCAAATGAACGAGCTCACATGCAAATGTTCTCTTGGACTTTTAGCTTTTTAGCGTGCTCAGAGGCCTCCTTTGCATACAGGAAGTACTTTTTAGTCTTTCAAACTGATTTGCTAAGTATCATCGTGTTTGTCTTTCCTTTCTAAGTGTCTCTCAGGGGAGTTTTGGAGCAATTATTCACACCTGCTGCAATGGGTAAGTGGGAGAGAATCCTTCATCATATAATGAACTCCTGGCAGAACCTAATCACTGAACATTTCCCTCTGGCCAGAGGAATAGGAAGCCAGATATACAGTAATATCAACAGTGGCCGTGTCCGGAATGGCACAGTAGCTTACTGCTCACATACGTTCTACTATTTTATTTCAGAATATTGTGTGACAATAATACAATAATGAATGTTTCAGAGTAGTATGCTACAGTGTTGGCACATGACAAACACTGAACATTAATTCAGCACAGCTCTCGAGGCTGTTACCTTACAAATAAATGTGCTAACCATTCTTTTTACAAAGGCTTGTTAATAAGGGTTCATACTAGTAAACAATGCTATATTGCCCAATTGAACTCATTTCATAATTAGCTAATGAACTTTACATATGGAATAAAACTGAATCAACACTGAGCTGTCTTTAACTGAACAATGATATTATTTTCTTTTTGGCAGTTACACTAAGTGGGAAAAGCGATATATTCTAGTTACCCTAAGTGCAAATAATGATAAATTCTGTTTACACTAAAATAGTAGTATTTTCTTTAGTAATAGGCTAAATAGTTAGGTGGCAGATATTTATACCTCAGTACATTATAAAACAGTATGCAATAACATACTGAGTGTAAATTATTATGTTTATTAAATGCATTTTAATAATAGGCTAATCTATGGATGCCGCCCCTTACGAAAAATGTTTATTCAAGTGTGCTATCAGTATACTTCTTTTAAACTAAAAATAGGAAAGTATACTTTCAGTCTAATATTTATGTACTTCTCAGACATGGGCTTTATGTACTTCTCAGAAATATACTTAAAATGACATTTACGTATACTTGACTTATACTTAGAAAATAAAATAAACTTGAAGTATACTACTTTTTGGTAAGGGGCCCTATTGGGACAATAACGCCGTCCCTACACCTACCGCTATAACCATACCCAATAAACACTCTATTATTAATGAGGCAATGTATTTCCACTTTGTAAATATTTCCTTTATTTTTATTGAAAATAAATGCCTTTCCGATCTGATATGTAGGCTAATGGGGAAAAGGAGACGAATGAGTTTGACAAAAGGCTGATTCGAATCGATCGCATCTTACTCGTTACGCAACTTGCAGTTTTGATAAACGCGTTTTTTTTGCCGCTGCCCAGGCAGTGGTGGGCGGGGTAAAATAGCCAATTTGCTATTTGCTATTAGAGTAGTAAACAGACATTCGATCCGTTTCTTTTTAGAGCTGCTTTGCAGCGGAATTTAATTCTGTTTGCATAATTGAAATGTTATTTTTATTTATATGTTATATTATTGCAATAATATTATTAATAATATTATTATTATTTAATATGTTTGAAACAATCTGTAGCCTACTGTATAAAGCGCCATAGAGATAAAGGTGACGTCATTTGACTTAAGTACAACAGATGTCCTACTAACGATATAGTTTTTAGATACACAGCAATAGTTTGTAGTTTACAGTAACGTATATATGTACATATAATAGTGTTGCATTACTATTCCCCGCCTCAAATTCACTCACGCATTGATGATTAAACATGGAGATGCAGTGCCTTCAGATGCACACTTCAGATTTCAGCAAATGTAGTAAGTAATCCGGGAATTCCATGCATACAGAAAATTCACATACTATTCACAGTATACACATGCATACTGCAATATAGTAGGAGTTGTATGGTACTGTGCCATTCAAAACTCAGCTTCTTTACTGATTTCAGTCTACTTGAGTAATATTTAGCAGATTCTGGCAAATATAGAAGGTCATCAGGGTATTCCATGCATACAGAAAGTTTGCATACTATGCACAGTATACATACTGGATACTGCAGAAATAGTAAGAGTAGTATGATATTATGGCATTTCGAATGCCTATCACGACAATCGTGTGATTGTGTAGTTTGTGTGGGTGTCTGTCAGACAATCAGTGTGAGTGGTCAGCCTGTTACAGGTCAAAGTTCATGGTCATCAATGGTTGAGGTGGACGGCTCTCCATCTGGTGGGGACTTGGCCTCTGAGGGTCGGGCCTGAAAAATGTCTGTAAGTGTAGAGCTTGTCTTCAAAAGTCTATTTTGTGTGTGACAGAACAAGTATGTAAATTACATGTTCGTGTGTGTCCTGTGCCAGTCTAAAGGCCTCTTTAGTTTACAGTGTGTTTAGAGGCAAATTTAGCCCAAGGCTGTACTGAATGCTCTAATCAAACACAACAATACCTGTCAAGCCATTTGACCATTCACAAAAACACTGCACTTCTCTCTCTCTCCCTGGCAGGTAGATCTTTGGTGCTGCAGCTGCATGACATGAATTCAATGAAAGCAGGCACTTGAGCAACTATGTGTGCACCCAGTAAAAAGGTGAAAAAGCCTATTAATCCATTCCACGATTATTGCACTAGTATTGCCCAATTACATCCAGCTCAGTGATAAGATAGCAGTACTTCTAACTTACAAATCTAATTTTTCCGATAACACCTTCAGGCTTTGTAAATGTTTTTTTTTTCATGTCATTTCATTTGTATTCTTTAAGTTTTAATATTTAGCAAGAACTTGAACAGGTAAATATAATAAAACCTTATGTGGGAATGCCATTATGGTTTTAGTTCTAGATTAATATGCATAATTTTGTCACATTTATGCACCTAAATATATTCTTCTTTTTTTTTTCTTTTTTTGTTGTTGTAGTAATTGTGAAAAATTGGTTTATCATAACATCTCTATTTCTTTCCACCCATCCCTCAATTCTCTCACTCACCCTCTCTCTCTCTCTGGCTGTCACTGCAGCACAATGTAGGAGCATTAGTATGCTAATGAGGTGCAGGGCGACAGGTGGCCCGCTAGACAGCTCAATTAAGCAGCTCGTTAAAGGCCAAGCTAACGAAGCGGCCTGCACTGCAAGCCTCAACAAACAATGTGACTGTGCAGGCTACAAATTGGTGAGTGCTAGCTCTGTGTGTGTGCGTTTGCACGGGCAAGAGGCAGAGAGATAGAGATAGAGACTGTTTCAGTGTGTGTGTGTAAGTAAATGTGTAAGCAGGGCCAATGAGCTGGACATAGAGAATGATTCAGTTTATGTGTCTGTCCGTGTGTGTGTGTGTGTGTGTGTGTGCGTGCGTGCGTGTGTGCGTGCGTACGTACGTACGTACGTACGTAAGGTAAATGTTTAGCAGTTAACAAGGCTTTGTGATGGACACAACTAGTAATGGCTAATAAGAGGGGTTGTTGCTTTTGCTCCTCGGGAAATTGAAAAAAAATTACTTAAATACAGACCTTCCTAGTTTTTATAATTTCCCCCCAAAACACTTTGCAGTAAATATACCCTTACTTGCAAATTTTTGCATTTCGTTATACATTTTCTGCAGATATACACTGTAATTTTTACATTCTGACATTGAGTCATTTAAAATGAAGGCTTTGATCTGCAATTCAAATTAGATTAGGTATGTATATTAGAAAAACTGTTGGCTCTTTACTGAAGAAAACCTTTAACTGAAGAATGTTTTAATTGGAAGAAAATTAAATAAATAAGCCCTGACCTTGCCATCTTCCAAAATCATCCTAACTTTAAACTGAAAGAAAACTTATTGGGCGATATAGATATGGTCACCAATATTTTGTGTATCCTTAATATTTATATACCTATTAATTGCTAATACTTTTCTTATCAAGTTACAGAAATGTGTATACATTTGTTTGAGATTATTGATTTGTCATATATAAATCAAATGAGGGATTCACTGATTTTAAATTCTGACTGACTGAAAATGTTCATTTTCTGGCTGATAACTGATGAATGTGCAGTAATAAAATGTTATACTATTTTGTCTTAGTACTGTACATTCAAAATAAACACACAAAAAATTTAACATTTGAATGCTAAATGTATGAATGTAGGCAATATGACATTAAAATGTACAATATGAAAAATGGATATTAATTTTAAGATTTGTTAAAGATTACATTTAACAATGTTATCAAGTATGAGTTAGATGACAGCAAATGTAATGTAAAAATAAAGGAAACAAGCATGTTCAATTAAATATACAATATAAACAAATACTGATAAATCAATAATAGTAGTAGTAATAATAATAATAATAATAATAATAATAATAATAATAATAATAATAATAATAATAATAATAATAATAATAATAATAATAATAATAATAATAATAATAATAATAATAATAATAATAATAATAATAATAATAATAATAATAATAATAATAATAATAATAATAATAATAATAACCAAAATATGATATGGTATTGATATATTGTGTATCCATAAATCAAATGTACTCATATAGTCACTTTATATACTATGATTAAAATGCAAAATAAGCACCAAGGGTTTTAGGTTATGTTTGCAGTGAAAAATTAAGTCATGTTTGTAAGAATCATTGCAACCATTAGTGATGTCTGGGATTAAATACTTCTTAATGATCATGTCGTGCATATGACAAAAAACATCTCTTTGTCTGATCACCCAGCAAAATATCTAGGACTGGGAACATTTGAGCAGCTCTGAGACAATATCAGAAGCCGCCATAGTTACTGGTGGAGGAGCATTGTTTATTGTCGCTAGATAAAGTTGTAACACAGACATTTTAATCAGTTTGTAACACTTAGCATTTGAGACTTATTATCCGGGGTGTGTTCACTGGTGCGTGAAACAGCAGCGTTTGGGTTCATAACCCGATCCTCCTGTCTGAGTCTCGCTGGCATAAAGGGATCATGAGCTCTAATGGTTCAGGGATCTGCCCAGCAAACGAGGTTATGTATGGAGGAAGACAAAAACACAGGGGCTAAACAGAGCCGCCCCATTCGTGAGCAAGCTGCTGCAAAGCTGGCCGACTCATGAATATGTTAATCCGCATTTGCCCGAATAAGTATGTGTAGAGGGAGAGAAGGAAAAAAACAACAGCACTCATTAATTAGTAAGGACAATGTGCCTTTAATGACAGTGTTGACACTGTTGGCGAACAAGTGATTGGGGCCTGAGAATGAGAGGTCATCAGAATGAGAGGAAGTGACACAGTGATGGGCGTTACTGTCAGAAGTAGAGGTTTTCTGTCCTAGGAGGGCAGACAAGGTGATCAAGGATGGACATGCAGAGTATAATAAAGACAGAACTGAGCCATGAGAGAGAGACAAACAAGCTGGTTAGACAAGCAGACAGCGCAGAGGTCAGGAAAGTGAACTTTATATATACACTAATTTGGAAAGAGAAAAGAGGGCACTTCAAGGATATAATAATAAAAAAAGAATGAAGTAGTCAGAGACTTTGCATGTCATTATTTTCTGTCACTGTGTGTAATGTATCTGCCTCCAATAGTAGCAAACAGAAATGTTCAAATGCATTGTTTTCAAACAGGTTTCCTGAACACTCTCCCTGTCTTCCATTGTTTGGAAAACATATAGCCCTGACCATGTGTTGCTGTATTTGGCTCATCAGGATGCAGAACAATGTTTTGATAGCACCACAAGGCCAAGGTCAGTACGTTTACATAGTTATAATAGGTTTTTGTATAAGTATATATTTTGAAGAACAGTGGGGTCCAAATAAGATCGACTTCATCTGTTATGACAGACAAATTAGACATTTTTGAAAATATCTTCTTTGTGTTCCAAGAAAGCAAGTCAAACTGGTTTTGGAATGACACGAGGGCAAGTAAATTACAGAAATTTTATGTGAACTGTCCTTATTAATGTTTACACCTTAAGATGTACAAATTTGTTACTTATAATTGTCTCTACATAGTAACTTGGATAGGAGGAGTGTTTTAACCAAAAATTTTACAAACACTTTACAAACCTTTTAGGAAGGTTTCAGGAAGATGGCGAAGTTCTTTGCCAAAAAGCTGTTTTGATATTGTTCAAATGCACCATGACTAATGGTGCCTTCACTTGCTATCAGGATTATCATAAATACAAGTTTCCTAGTTGGAAATTATATGTGAACGGTTTCTCAAGTTGTATTTGCAATTTGGAAACTCTGAGATAAGTTTTACACCAGAGTTTCCTAGTTGTGCAGCTTTAAACATGGAAGAAGTGAAAACCATTAAAGTAGTGACTGTTAAATGAATAGCTCATCCAAAAATAAACATTTGCTTGTAAATTTGCTGACCCTCAGGCCATCTAAGAAACAGATGAGTTTGTTTCTTTGTTTAAAAACATCTTGAGGAATTTGTTTATTAAAAACACAACTTTTTGCTTCACAAAGACATTCATTGATGGACTAAAGTCATGTGGATAAATTGCGGATTATTGTGATATTTTCATCAGATGTTTGAACTCTTATTGTGACAGCACCCATACACTGCAGAGCATCTATTGGTGAACTTGTCCAAATCTTTTCAGATGAAGAAACAAACTAAGTTTTATTCATTTTCCCCAATAAATCTATAGTGCCATTATAGTCATGTATATAAATAACCATTTTATGCACATTGTATTTATTGTACACATAGAAAATGGCATTTATATGACAAATATTTGACCAAGTTGACTGTCTAGCACAGTGAATGTGTATAATATTGTGGGTAATATTTATGTGGTTGCTGCTACATTTTATTCAAAATATTGACTAAATACCTTCTGTACATTTTGTCTTAAGATTTTCCCCAAGAAACAGGCAAAAATGAACCTGTTGTCCTCCATGATTCCTATTCCTTCCAATAACAAAGTACCCGAACGTGACAAACTCATACAATTTTAGTTTGCACATGAAGTCTGCATTATAATGCCAGGTTTCATGAATGAATTAAAATGTCACAAATTTTTACCAGAGTTTATTCCTCAAATTTGCTTTAAACACTGACTCTCAATGAGGAATGCATAAGTATTGCAAAATCTGACATATAAGAGAATAGATATTAATCAAGATGCTAATGCGTTCACTATCAGCACTTCAGCATTTTTGTGCAAATCCACCAGGCCTTACGGTGTTTGAATCACAACAGCAAAACCCAGACTTGCGTTCAAACACACCATGTCTTTTTGATGCAACAAATTTAAGCGATGCATCGAGGCCTGAAAGAACGACAATGGCTCAGTCTTTTCAAATGCCAGAGCAGCGCCACACACATAGAGATCAGAGTAAGTTTATGAAGTAATCTCTCTTTCTCTCTCGCTATCACTCGAACCCTTCCCTCTCTCCCTCCCTCTGTGTTATGACATAGTAATCTGTGTCTCTAGCAGCTTGACTGAATAGGCGTATGAATGGCTGTTTTCTGCCTACATGAACCTATTGGAGGTGGATCAACCATATGCCCATGGACATGCACACTCAATGACAAAGGCGGATACCAACAGGCCCTCTCTGACACAAAGCGCCGAGGGGCTGAGGGAGGCGGGCAAGACGAGGGGTGCATCTTAACCTGAGACATCCCTCACACAAGTAAATATTCTCACACACACCCCACCGCATGCCACCCACACAGCAATATGGAGATGTGACATTGATACAAACTAAGCTTGGGGAGTTTGTGAAGATGTTTAGTTGTGTTGTTTTTGAAAGGTCTTGGTTTGTGCGGGTGATGTTATTGTGCATGTAAAATGTATAGAGGAAGAGGGAGGGACAGTAAGAAAGACAAGCACTTTTTTGGAGGGGGCCAATCTGTTGCAGCTCTGGATGAAGTCTTGTGATGGAAAGACAGTGTGTAAAGTGACATATGTGACACAGAGGGACAATAGGATTATGGTCCTCTTCTCGTTATCCGTGCCTTTGGACAGTGGGATTATCATCTGGGAAGTGAAGATCTCGGGCCGCTAAGCTTCAGTGTGGCCCGGTTCCTCATCTCTTGTGTGGGGTGGGAAAGCAGGGGTGAAGGGGGTCCCCTGGAGAGTGGGCTGCTATCAGAATTTACATATTCATCAGAGATCAGAGCTATGCTCTCTTTCTTTCACTTTTCTGTCTTCTTTTTCCTATCTTTCTTGCATACACATGCTCGAACATGCTGAGATGTCATTTTACTGTTTCTAAATATTCAGCACCCAGAAATACAAAGTTGTTCAAAGTTCACTTATGAAAACGCTTCTAATTTTTCCAGATTTATTATTATTTTATATTTTTATATTATATGTAAAGAGGCTTAAAGTAAAAAAAATGCTTCTGTTTTTTTCATGTTCATTCATTATATTATATTCATAACAATGTAAGTCTAATGTTTGACTTTAAAAAAAAATAAAAAATGTTTTAGTATTTGGTTTGTTCATCTTTTGCTTTATTAATAACATCACTCAAGCTGCATCAACTCGAAATCCTGATGGTCATATTCTTCCAACATTAATGATCCAAAGAGCGTCTTGTTCTTCAATAGACAACAGGAACATTATGACCTTTTGTACAAAGTTGACGTTGTCCAAATCTTTTCAGATACAAATGTATTTATTTGATCAGTGACCTAGAAATAGTACAGAATTGTATTTGAAAAATAAAATTAAAACTAAACTTTTAGAAAATATTTCTTATACATTTTACATCATAATGTTTTATTACATTTTGAAACCAAAATTAGATTTATTTATTTTTTAGCCCCATTGTATCTTCACACATAAATGCATCTCTCTGGCATGGAGAAAAATAATTATTTTTGTATTTGAAAATATTACAGGAGGAGTGCAATGGAGTTAACTACTGTAGCAGAGGGCAAATGAAGTTCAGCTGAGGTGAAGGGGTGAGACAACGTCAAAGAAGGAACAACGGAGAGAGATCGAGAGACGTTGTCTAATGAAGGAATGCACAGAGAGATGGAAACTAATGGAGACAAAGGATGTACAGAGTGAGAAGGAGAGGGAGAGAGATGGCGATGGGGTGGCTGACTGCTGTTGAACTCATCCTCATCTTAATTGATGAGGTCATCCTGGGGATATCCCAAAACTAGAGTGTCCCCGGGAGGTCATCACCAGGTCATCCAAAAGTCAAAGTGCATCGGAGAGAGATGACGTAGCATATAACTTTTCTTTGTGTTTCTGTTGTCGTTGTTGTTTTTGTTTGTTTATGGGCTTTTTGCCTTTAATTGTAAGGATAGTGTAGACTAGGCAGAAAAGTGGAGAGAGACCACGATTTTCTAGGCCGATATGGCTAGGAACTATACTTCCATTCCGGCATAATAATCAAGGAACTTTGCTGCCGTACCATGGCAGTGCCTGAAAATAGGCTTATTGGAAGTTACCTAGCTGGGGACTATTTTCAGGCGCTGCGTAATATCATTGCGCCTGCTGCACCCATGGTACGGCAGCAAAGTTCCTTGATTCCTTGATTGGTGTCTTAGTACACAATGTAACTACAGAAGAGCCAAGTTTTAAATAGGAAAAATATAGAAACTCTTTGGTCATTTTTGAGCGAGATGCTAACGGTCTAATAAGATTCAATGATCTATGCTAAGCTGCAGCTAAAAGTGCTACCGCCAGGCCCGGAGATCGGCTGAATGGATTCGAAAACGGTAAAACTCAACTGTTTAACTCTAGGGGATTTGGAAAATGAGCCTATTTTCAAAAATAGTGGAGTGTTCCTTTAAGACATTTACTGCCACCTGCTGACAGATTTAGTTTCTTATTTAGAGTATCGTTTAATTACAATTTTTTTTTTCTCATGAATAAAAACTATGAAAATAAAAATCCATATTAAAAAAAATTAAAGAAATAAAAAAGAATGAAAAAAAATCTTTTTAAAGCTGCTTTTTGTTAAGCTTTTCTCATTTAACAATAATGCCTTTACATTATATTTTGGGGGTAATTTCTGAGCCAAATTTGCAGTTTTTATTAAATTTGTGATTAATTAATCGACATTGTGTAATTAATTACATTAAATATTTGAATCGAATGACAGCTTATGCATATAAATATATAATTTAACAAATTAGTAATCATTAGGAAACTAATAAAAAACTAAATATACAGGGAGTAAATGAAAGATGCAATTTTTTCTCACACATACATAAAGGTTTGTTTTGAAATTGGGTCCGTGTCTTTGAAATGCTGTCAATCAAATGTTCTCTGCTGGAATTGCTAGAGTGTAGGTGTCAAAGTAACCTTTGCAACACAGGCGTGCACACACACACACACAACATACACATATAACGAAACACAAATAGACTCGCTTAGCGACAACACACTCCATAATTGCTGCCTATTAAGGTCTTCGCTTCTCTCTCACACCTCATTACAGGCCTAAACACACACTGCCCCCTCATTACAGATTGCTTGCTAAACACACACACATATATACAATTCCCTCATTCCCACCTGTCAGTTAAACACTCAACCTGGCAAGCGTGACCACTGAGAGTTGGGTGTTAACTCACTGATGACAGTGTGTGGGCCAGAGGTGTGGGCTCTGTAACCCCATTCCAGTACATAGTAGAAAACTGTTATGCATGCTGACCTTATGTTTCCATGTGTGTTGTGGGAAGTCTCTAACGAGAGGCATTTGTCAGGATGGTGTGGATCTCTTGTTGGATTATGGTTGGCTTTGAACATCCTATTGAAGAAAATGGACTCTCATGTAGAAAAACCAATTAGCGCTTGTATCTATGTACCTCATGCTGTTAAAAACTGTTCAGTGTGTTTACATGTGCAAAAGCAACAGGTTCCGATCTGTTGTATGGGAAAAAGCTGGTGATGTGTTGGCGTACAAAAAAAAAAATTCTATATAGAATAATGTAGTGATTTGGTTTCATCAGTTTCCCACAATCCCATAATAATATTTGTCATCATAACTATCATCTCTCCATCTTGTGCTCCTGTTATTTTCTGCAATAGAGTAATGTGCAACCTTTAACAATGGGGGGTTTGTTTGTTGTAAATTGGTGCAATTCACTAGAGCTTGATTCTTTTCTCACTCTCTCACTCGCTCTTTCTCAAGGTGAAAGGTAACTGAATGTGCCAAGAAGAGCAGATGGGTTGGTGAGAGGAGAATAAAGGAACAAAAAGTTGCTGCAAAACAGAGGAGTATAATTATAGTTGTACCAGGGTATGTGTCATGCATATGAAAAGGTTTGTCATATTATCAGATACCTTTAAGGAACTGTACTCTTACAATATTATACAGGCACAGTACCCATGGAGTAACCTGGGATAAAGTCTCTTACAGACAGTGATGATAATTCATGGCTTGTTCTTTTGAAAGACTTGAATCAGCAACTTGCCAGTTGCAGACCTGAAGTTAAACCAGCCCACCATTAATGGTATAATTTTTGTTTATGATAGTTTAGAGAGGAAGAAAATCAGATTACTGATGTCCAACTTGAATAAAACAGTGCCATTTTTAATGTCATTTTGAAGGGGACTGGAAGAAGAACATTTTGAAACTTGGAAGGAAGATCAGAAGACATTATGGAAACTTGAAAAGAAGAATGGAAGAAAGGAAGTTTAGTCCAAGGTGATTAGTGAAGTCTAACTTAAAGTTATGTAATTGTCTTTTTTTATTAACATGAAATGCTGGAAAGAGAACGCCTTTATTTTGACATAATATTTTGAAATAATTTGACACGAAGACTTTGCGATTTACTTTCTAAAACATTTGGATAAAAACAATGTAGTTTGCAAGACTGTGTTGCTGACTGCATCAAGAGGCAAAAGCTAGTACTTTCTGACAGACAAACAGCTTGTGTGTTGTTCATACTGTACCTATGAATGTATGTCCTAATGTGTTGTTTGCCTGTGTCCCTGCTTGTGATAGTTTGCAGATCCTCTTCAAAGTACTTCAGATGACAAGGGACCCCTCTTAAAAACACAAGCCTGAACTCTTCAGTTTAAGAGCCCTGCTGTTTGCCTCTCTCTCTCTGTGTGTGTTTCTAACTCAGGAAACTGACAGTTGCCCATAAATTATTTGCCTTTATTTTAAAAGCACAGCTCATTTACATCAATTTGTAGGAGGCGGGGAAAAGTAGCGAGGGGTTTGTAACTTTAGGTATGTATATTTGAATGTGTAAGGGGGGTCATCTTAGGTGGTCAGCGTTGCCATTCTTTCGCCCTAGTATCCTGTCGTATTCCTTGAACCCAAGCATACTCACCATTTCCACACACACACCAGAGCTCAGATGCCTCCCCGCTAATTAGCAACAAGTCAGAGCCGCCCACTTCTGCAGGGCAGTAAATATTCCCACACACTCTCACACTCGCATAGACGTCCCCAACTCGGATACAAGACCCTCGTTCCCTCTCCATTCATTCCCCTCTTTTCTGATTTTTATCACCTCCCCTTGTTTTGTTCCCACTTCTGCAGCCATCAATCATCCCATTGACCTATCTTGTTAGGGGAAACTCACAGACACGCCCCCTCGCCTCCTCCAGGCCTCAATCTCATCCCACGCTCTTTCTTTCTATATACATACGCATCGGAGCCCCAGTGTCCATCTCTGACTTATACCTTCATGCTCCATCCTGCTCTCCTGCGTGGTTAGTCAGGACAGGGTTGTGGCCATGGGCCGGACAGGGTCGTGGGGGGGATTAGATATAGGGAACACTCTGGGTGGTACGGTAACCCCTACGACGAGCGCAATGCCTCCTGTGTCCCCATGTGACACACACCCTTGTTTTACAACAGGGGAGGAGACACCTTCAATGCCCCAATGATGTGAACCACCCTGAGCCTATTCATGGTGACAAACGGCCACTGCTGGCTTCTGCGACAAACACATGCACAGACAGGCCGCAACTATCACATGCATAAACGCGGTTTTTGCTTCATGGCGTGTTCATTTGCTAAACCATCCTGGCAAAGAAACACTACTGTTGAATGCACAATGTGACACACATTGAGATTACCTAGATGACATTAATATGCACACTCGAATCCGAGACAGATGGGATAAAAGGCTTTCTTCTACCTTTATTGCTTTCTCCCTCTCTTTTCTCTCTGAAAGAACCTTCTTGGCTGGCTCTCAGTGGAGTTGAATTGGTATGGCTTTAATTGAATCAACTAGCTCTTTTCTTGTGTTGCACTTATGAGGCCAGAGCAGCCAAATGGCTTGATGACAACGTAATGGCAGAAGAATTGAATGCGCGACACTGCCAGAGGGGAGAGAAATCCCAATGGCATTCCTTTGCATCTGCAGCAATACACGTAGTCGCACACAGACACAATACAACACTATTATGATCACTGAATTTAACCAAAAACACAGGAAGAATTATATTTTATGTTCAATATTCAAATGAGCAATGAGTATGTAAGCAGTTACAAAACTTTTTCATCTGGTTATTATTGTTGTTATTTTTTTTAACATGTATTTATTTATTTTTAATGCAGATTATCGGTATGTGCAGTTTCTTTTTTTTACCTCAAGGAGCTATTTCTATTTTTTTTTTCTATCTAGGAGCTAGTTAATTTTGTTGGAATAACCTAATGCAGGGTTTCCCAAGCAGAGGTTTGCGAACCCCTGGAGGTTTGTGAGGGAAATGCAGAGAGTTTGTGAGTTGATGTAAAGTTAATAATTAAGTCATGAAAATGTAAAATCAGTCGTAAACACACAGGTTTGTTTTTGTGAAAAGTGGGGACATTCCATAGGTGTAATGGTTTTTTTACTGTACAGACCATATATTCTATTGCCCTACACCAACCCTACCCCTAAACCTACCCCTCACAGGAAACTTTGTGCTATTTCAGATTTTCAATACACTCCATTCTGTGTGATTTATAAGCGTTTTGAAAAGTGGGGACATGGGGTAATGTCCTGAAAAGTCACCTTCTCCTTGTAATACCTATGTCATACCTTTGTCATTATACAAATTTATGTCCTCATTTGTCACAAAAACGCGCACACACACACACACACACTCACACACACACATAAACCAACTTAATAACTTAGATGATACTTCAAAAATATATTGTATGTCAAAGGGGTTTGGCTGACAAAATACTATTTGTTAGACCTCATTCTCATACACAAATTCTCTTCTGATCTCTTTTGTCTGATCATCCATATGTCATATTTGACCAGCCATTTTGAACCAAAGAGACCTATCACAGTCTGTCATAACAGCAGTTCTTTCTTTCTTTCTTTCTTTCTTTCTTTCTTTCTTTCTTTCTTTCTTTCTTTCTTTCTTTCTTTCTTTCTTTCTTTCTTTCTTTCTTTCTTTCTTTCTTTCTTTCTTTC